CCCAGCTCAAACTGGCCATGCACAGTGAACTGAACCCTACATTAACTTTTATTTAAGCACAGGGTCAAGAACCACAAAGGACATCATCTACACAAATGAGGTCCTCATAATGAGGCTCATCACTATTCCTCACAGCAGCTAAGTGCTCCAGTATCTTTTACTTCTACAGCAATAACCATCATGAAGAACAGAGCAAGAAATAATAATTTGTTTACAGCAGGTCAAGAAACATCTACAGTAAATAGTGTTTTAGCCCACCTAAACATCCACAAAAAAAATTATTTCATTTTCAACATCTTACTAGGAGTGGAGAAGACAGGAATTTCTTCAGGGCAGAAGAAACCTGTTGATTAAATTTATTAATGAGATTATAAAACAATCTTCTCAGATAATCAAAAGGACTGAACTCAATAATCCAGATGGTTTCTTCCCCTTTGGGCTTCTGTGATTAAATAATCATTAAGTGGGTATCATCTGTAGCCCACTGTGGGTGAATCTGAGCTCCTGTTTGGTTTTCAGTGAATGTACACGCTTGGCACGGCAGAAACAAAGTTAAAAAGGCAGACTTCTGTTTAGTGTGCTTTGCTCTTTTGCTATTTCCAAACACTTGAAACACATACCATGCATATTTCCTACACACAGTACAGGCTAAATACAGGAATTAAAGAATAACAGTTGCAAACAGTTACTGACTATTGCTATGCCAATTTCATGGGTTTGTTTCTTGTACATCCACTTTGTTACCCAAAGAAGAGGCCAAGTTGAACTGGAAACTGACTTTAGAAACAAATAAAATGTTAACTTGAGATATTTAAGTGCTGATTTCTACTTTTTTGTTCCTAATTCTAGGCTACAATTTGAAAGCATGATTACCTTTCAGATGTGCAATACCATTGCAGCTTTCAAAAAGAACCTCTGTAGCACCAGTACACACTTTTAACATATTTACACACAAGCCAGTTGGGTATCTAACAATGCAAGAACAGATCCTTTCACACCAACAGCCACCTCAATCTTTGAAAGCTGTAAGAAGGTAGTGGAAAAGCATTCCACACTTTCCAAGCTTTCTAACTTCCCCAAGTTTTTTGGATCATCACGAAAAGAGAAGCAAATGGAAAGAAAAACCTGCACTGTAATGCACACATGCACTGCTTTACCATCACCTTCCTCACAAAGAGTTTGCCAACCACAATTAACATTTCACACCAGCAACCCAACCAAGAGAAACAAACCAGAGCCAGCACTGTCCAGTTTTCATTCAGCTCCACATATGCTCAGCAACAATCTTTCTGCAGGGACCCTCCCATAAAGCACTTGCCCCACAAACACAAGGTATTTGAAAAACATCAGTAAATAAACAAAAGCAGAGATGGAAAAGTGTGATGCAAGCTGTATTCAGCACTCAAAAATGTGGCAACCATGATACTTTCAAAGACTACTACATGGAGATGCGGAAGAATCAGTTTATACATCACTTATTTAATGGTTTATTTACTGATTTTATGATAAGAGACAGCACTGCCCTAACAGGGTTTGCCACAATCAAGAAAACCTGAGGAATATTTAGAACAGAGAAAATCATTTACAAAGATATAGATGAGCATAAATAGGAAGAAATGGAATGTAGCTTCCTAAATTACAGTTCTTAAATTTTAAAGCAGTAAAGAAAAAGAAGCTGCATGTTTCAGTCAATTGGCAGCATTCACATGTGCTGTCAGTGTGGGCATCTTCCCTAAATAGGCAAACAACCTAAAATGCAGAAAACTGAGAAATTTTTGAAGCCAAGAAAATGTTTTTGTTGCTTGAAAGCCTCACAAAAGCTCACTCCAGCAGAGGACTCTGTTCACTCACATGCAACAAAGATGACTTCATGTTGCAAGAGGTGCAGAGAAGAACTACAGGAGAACCAAACAGATGGAGAGCCCTTCTCAAAGGGCTGCACAAAGAACTTGGCTTGCTTAGCTGAGCAAAACAAGGCTAAGAGGGAAGGTGATTTCAGACAAGCATCTCATGTAAACAACCAAGGGGAAAACAGTACCCATTCAACTTCAGGACAGCTGCCCAAGCACAGAACAGCAAAAAACATTCTAAACCACAGCACGTTCATTTGGAAAGCTTCTATCCAACAGAAGTGGAGTTTTGGAAATTTTCAAACTCCCCTTAGGTGGAAAGGGGAGAAAAACTTACCTGGTTTTGATATGAAGCTTGACCACCTTATAGACCTTTGTTTCACTTTATGATGTTTCAACCTTTTGTTATACAATATGATGTTTCAAGCTTGTCCACAGTATTGAAAGAAGCAATAAACACATGGAAGTAAATGGACATAAGATTTCATAAGTTTTTTTTTACATCAAAGACATCTCACACCCAATGTTTTATCTAATATTTCCATGACCTCTCTACCAGAAATCAGTTGTGTAAGTGGAGTTAGCCTGTATATATTTAAATAAAATGTTCAATTGAAGTTATTTGAAACCACAATACTACTTAATAAAACTTATAATTTCATTAGAGAAATAATAAGATTTACAAGATCCATTAAGTGGCCAATGTGGTAAAACTAAAATAGGCTGCATTAACTGTGGAAATTATCACTAGGGGGAGGGGTTACTTGGAATGTTCCTTCTGACACCCTTCAATAAAATAGTATCCAAGGAGTAACAAGGCACTTGTGAAATTTCTGTAGACAACACCAGACTGGAAATGTCACCAGTACAACGAGAACTGGGTAGTTATCCAGGAATGTTGATGGGTTTTGAGAGCTGGAATGCCAGAAAATGGAATTTAATAGTACAACATGTGAAATCATGCGTTTAGGGACCGGTAACCTTCTCTGTAAGCTGAGAACTCATCACGTGGAAGCAACACAGCAGGAATGAACAGAGCAGTGAGGTATGGAAATCATCATCTAAGGATACTGATGTTGACATGAGCCCAACAAGAGCTCAGTATGCTCACAGAAGAAAAAATGAGAAATTCCATTAGGCTCAGGAAGGCTCTCAGAGAGGTTAGAGCAGTGCTGGGGGAAGTATCACTGCTGAAGAGTTAAATATTGTATTCCATATCAGGAGGATCTTTGGTCTCAAGCAGCTCAACTGAACAGATTTATGTTAAAACACTACTTTATCTCCCCACAAAATTTTGCTTGGCTAAAGGTGGCTGAGTTTATTAAACTGCTCAGTAAAATACACACTCCATTCCTTATTTCATTTCCTGCAGCATTTCCAGTCCAAGGTAAAGAGCACTATTAGCACAAGTTATAAAAATGCACTGCACAGAACCCCAATTCAATGGATCAGAAATTAAAAGTTTTGCAACTGCCTGACAAACAAGACAAGAGATGGTGTTCCAAACAGAGCAGTTGGGAAGAGGAATTTAAGCTGTTCTAAAATCACACTAGTAAGTTTCTGGAAAAGACAGAAAAACAAATAGATGTATTTCCTACACCTAGAAGTTTACGTACCCATGTAAAGGATCTGTTTACAGTACATTTGCAGACTGGACATTTTAGAGTTCCATCTCTGGCCTGTGCAACCAGCAGAACTTTTATTCCTTCCTTTCAACACACTGGCCATAGATAAAGTGTGGCAGCTCCAAGTGTTACTGAGCTGCTCTCCAGTGCTTTGCTACTGCCTCCTCAAGAGCCAAGGGCTAAACTATCTGCCCAGCACTGTCAGGAGTTCTCTGGCTCAGACAAATGAAGATTGAATGCCTTTTTTCTTCTCTGTGGGTGAAAAAAGGACATTTTAGGATCATCTGGAATTTTACTTAACAAATATGCTACATGTGAGGCATTTGCTATACCTTCAGCCAATTGCTCCTTCACCCAGCCCAGTATGGTTTGGAAGCTTGATACTTAGTAAAACCTCAAGTTACCCAAAGATTTTGGGGTACACTCTGCAGGCATTTCAACCCTGGACAACTGTGGCACTGCTGTCAGCAGTTATTGGGGCAGTACTGAACAACCTGGGAGCTCTGCACTGGAGCCATGAGACAGTCTGAGCATTTTCCAGTCCTTTTCTGTTGGTTCCACTCAATTTGTCAGGCATTCAGATTTGCAAAGGAAAACGCAAAGACATCACACATGACACGTGACTCTATATCCAAGATGTACCAGAGTTTTACTCATTTGATTAAATCTCTACTTTTACATCGGTGTTTGTCTTCGTAAAAGCCTTATATCTGCGATGTTTGAAAGAAGCTCTCTTAGTTATCCTACTTTACTGCAGCACGCCGGCATCTCATAGAATAAAAGCATCTCATAGAATAAAAGCATCTCAATAAGCCGCACATCCCTGCTTGTAATTGCTCTCTGAACAAGAAACGATCTTGTTGTTTGCCACATGAAAGATCCCGACAGCCACCACCAGCCCTGGCAAGGCAACTTCATCCGCTCAGCCCCGTCTCCGGGAAGAGACACTGGAAGCCTTTCACTTGCAAAACTTCCCGGGGCTGCGTCCACAGCCTCGAGCCATTTAAAATAACAAAACCACCATTCACCTTCCACCTCGGCCGGCGCTCCGCAAGGCAACGCTCCACCTGCCGCAAACCTCACCGTAAATAGCGGGGAGGGGGGAGCAGCCAGCTCGCAAACACAAATACACACCAAAAAACCCCAAAAAAAACCCCGAAACAAACACGGGAAACTGAAGTGCCGCCTCCAAGGAAACCTGTTGCTGACCACCGCCGGAGCGCGGCTGGGGGATCCCGCATCCCGCCGCGCCCGGAGCCAACTTTCCCGCTGGCACGGCGGAGCCCGGAGCCGCTGTGGCCGGCGAGGATCATTAACGAGCCCGCGGACGCGCGGGGTCGGTGCGGGGGCGGCCGCGCTGAGCCCGGGCCGGGCCGGGGCCGCGCCGCCAGCGCCCCCCGGCCCCGGGCGGCCAGAGCGGGGCCGGGAGCGGTACTCACTCGATGAAGTAGCTGGCGCCCTCCTCCGAGAACCCCTCCTCCCATCCGCGGGGCAGGTCTGCAAGGCACGGGGGACGGGGAAAAAGAGAGAGAGAGAGCGGGAAGGAGGGGTGAGAACTTCGCCCCGGAGCCTCCCGGCCGCGGGGCGGGGGCGAGGAGGGGGCGCAGCGCCGCGGGCACCCACCTGAGCGGATCATGTGGCCGGAGTTGACGGGCTCGCCGGTGCGCGGATGCAGCCAAGTGGTGGTGCGGGTCAGGTCGCTGCGAGGGAGAAGCGGAAAACATGCACCTGTTAGCCAGGGCGGCGGGGCCGCGCTGCCCCCGCGCCCCTCCCGCGGCTCCCCCTTACTCGATGAAGAAGACGCGCCCGTCCCTGCAGACGCCGTAGGACCAGTGCTCAGGTAGAGTGTCCCGCCCCACCGCCGCCGCCATGTTCGCCGTGCGCCCCTGACTACAACAGGCAGGAGGGTAACGCGACAGAGCCCGCTCGGTGCATCCCAGTGGGGCTGGGCTGCCTCCCAGTCAGACCAAAACCATTCCTGGTGCTGGTGTGTGTGTGGGGGTGCTCCAGCCAGAGTTAAGTGCTCCAGTCACTCAGAATGTGGTGATGGGACGAGCAAGGGGCGGTGTGCCCTGCAGCAGAGCCCGTAGGTCTCTTGCTCTCATCCTGCTGGCAGCCAGCAGAGCGAGGATGGATGCCAGGTACGGAGTCCTGGCCAGTGCCTCGGCTTGGCCGGAGTGCGAGTTGCAGCAGGACTGACAGAGCCAAGGGGCTCAGGGTGCAGAAATGCCTCTTTCAATGAGGACAGCAGTGGCGGAGCCAAGCACGGCTCTGTGGGGTTCTTGCTGTTCTGATACTGGAGAAGACAGAGGGATCAAAAAGGCAGGAAATGGGACATTCGCAGGCTTGGCGTGAAAGGAGAGTGTTGAACGGGAAAGACAGGCTGCAAAGAGGGGTGGGAAAGGGTGAGTCTGACTGGGGTCAGGTTAGTAAAGAAAAACAGAGGAGACCAACTGAGGACACGGCTGTGGAGAAGGAGAACGTCAGCATGCAGTAGGAGAGTGTAAGAGGGCAGAGTGCTGCAGTACAGGGAAAATGATAACGTTTGCTTTTCCTTCTAAATAACCAAAATAAATCATCAGAAGAAAGTAGGAGGCAAAAAAAGCAGCATCAGACAGGAGAGAGAGAGCTTTGCTTTATTTCACATCAGTTTCAGACAACATTGCAGGTCTGGTGCATCAGCATGGCTTTGTGTAGACTTCCCTTTTTGACCACTGCTGGAGAAGATACTATACTGTGTATATACACTAAATATACACAGTGTACTTGTGTCATCAAACAACCAGGAATGGTCATTACTGTGGCACACATTGCACACTAACTGATAATCTCATCTTCCAACAATCCACAGAACTTTAGTTTATCCACAGTTATAAAGCAGGAGGGAGTATCTTGAAGCCCTTCATCCTAAGTCAGAGTTTTGATTAAAACTTCTAATACTAAAACTCCCCTGCTGCTTTTTTTTTTTTAATCCTTACTGGGTTTCCATGGCAAAGTTTTGGGGGGAGACTGCACAGTGGCTTCTATCAGAAGCTGCCAGAAGCTTCCCTAATATCCAACAGAGGCAATGCCATCCAGCTCCAGGGTTGACTCAATGCTGGCCAATGTATTGGATGAGGGATTTTAAAAGGGAGAAAAGTTAGCATGAATTGGGACCAGAGAGTGGGTGAGAAGATGTGAGAGGAACAGCCCTGCATGCACCAAGGTCAGTGCAGAAGGAGAGGGAGGTGTTCCAGGCACAGGAGCTGAGATTCTCCTGCAGCCTGTGGTGCAGCCCATGGAGATCCACAGGGATGCAGAGATCCACCTGCAGCCCATGGACTCCACTCCAGAGCAAGTGGATGCCTGAGGGAGGCTGTGATCCCATGGGTTGCCCGTGCTGGAGCAGGGACCTGCAACCCAGGGAGAGAGGAGCCCATGGTGGAGGACGATTGCTGGCAGGAGTTGTGACCCTGCGAGGGACCCACACTGGAGCAGCCTCTTCCTGAAGGAAGGACCACACCCCATGGAAGGGACCTGCACTGCAGCAGCACATGCAGCCCACAGGAAGAGACTTAGTTGGAGAAGTTGATGGAGAACTGTCTTCCAGGGAAGGGACCTGGAGAAGTGTGAGGAGTCCTCCCCATGAGGAGGAGGAGTGTCAGAAATATGTAATGAACTGACCAACAACCTCCATTCCCCATCCCTCTCTGCTACTGAGAATCAAGAATAAAATTGGAAGAATGGGGGGTAGGAGAAGGTGTTTTTAAGATTTGATTTTATTTCTCAATATACTATTCTGATAGATTGTTAATAAACTAAATTAATTTCCCCAAGTTGAGTCTCTTGCCCATGACAGTAACTGGTGAGGGATCTCTCCCACAAGCCTTTCATTATATTTTCTGTCCTCTGACCATTTGGGGAGGGGGAGTCACAGAGCAGCTTTGGTGGGCACCTGATATCAGTGTCAACCCACCACAGAAGCCCTAACAATTCTGAGTCATTCTGGTTAGGTATGAGTTGCCACAGAACTTGCAATAATGTCAGTCCTAGTGCAATTCCAGAGGCAATAAAATACAAGTTACTTAGTGTCATTGCATATTTAGGTCTGTGCAGAAGGGATTAAGACCAGCTCTTGCTCTGGAGTCAACACATTGCTGTTATGCTCTGGAGCAAATCTTCTGTGCTCCATCAGCTGCAAGAACTCATTCCATTTAGCTTCTAACTCCACCATGACAAAATAGGCTTATCCACCTCAAATGAATAGTAACTTCATTGAACAAGCATTATTGGGGTTTTGATTTCAGGTCCTAAAAGCATCTGTACTTTGTCAAACTAAATGTCTGTTTAGGCTAATATTCTGTCTGCCTCTTGTCCCAACAGGAGCAGGTGCCAGAAAAGTGCAGGAGCCAGACAGTCACAGGCAGCTCCCCAGCTTCTTTCCTGAGCTCCAGTACCTACATCCAGGGCTTGCCTGCAGAGCCTGAGGGCTCAGAAAGCTCTTGCTCAAGGTCTTGTTTCCATCTCTAACCCCTAATGGATCTTTTCAGTGAAGCTGTCCAGACTAGAACCCACATAACTTCTATCACCCAGCAGCAGCAGTGTTCCTAATGCTCATCTTACCTGAGCTGTGTATGAAGAATCACCTTCTTTTGCTTGGGGTGAACCCAGATCTCATTTCATTTATTTTCTTCAGTTCTTGCAATGAAAGAGACTGGGGTCACCAGTGCAACCTCCTGCAGTGTCTGCATTGATCTTAGACCAGGTGGCCCAAGCCTTTGTCCGGGTAAGGATGTGAAAATACTCCAAGGACAGAAATTCAACAGCCTCTCTTAGCAACTAGTTCCCGTGTGCCTGTGGTGAAAATACTTCCATTATATCAAGTTAGAAACTCCCTGCTTCAATTTCTCACCGCTGTCATATGACCAGATCTTGAGTTGATGCATCATGGTGCCTGAGGCATTAGCACATTATCACATTACAGAAAAGTGCATTACTGAAAAAGCATATTTTCTGACTGTAACTTGCAGAGCTCTATTCCAAAATTAAGATCAAGATGAAAACTTAGTCTAGATTCATGAAAGTTCACAAGCTGACTTGTGTTTGCCTCATCAGGATGTAGGTTTGTGATTTAGAGCCCTGGAGGAAGAATGCCTTCAGGCATCATTCATTAATAAGATTACCAGATTCTTCTGGGTTTTTTTGTTCTTTTTTTGTTTTGTTTTTTTCTAGGCTCTAGTTCCAGTCCTCCCTGGCTGATATCAGACATTTTTCTATTACCTATCATTCATTGCACTCTAGAGGCACTGTCTGGAAGAAGCTATTTGGGGTAAAATTAGGACTTTAAGGCGACAATATCAGGAACTCAGCTAAAGGAAGTGAAATATGGTCTTCAACAAGGGTCTAATAAAAGCTAGGCTATTTGAGGCTCCCTTTGTAGATAACTGGGTAATTCAAGGAGGCATCATGAGGTCCCTGAATACTCCAAGTTTGAACCCGCATTTGACAGCTTTATAGGAATGTGTCACTAATGTTACTTGCTCTGTCTGCCTCCTCTGGGAACACTTTTTTTGATGACTTCTTTAAATTGGGAGAGCAGCGATACATTTTAAAGAATGCCAAAAGTGTCTGTACTTTCATTGAAACAGAGAATCACAGAATGATTTGGGCTGGAAGGGATCTTAAAGATCACCTCCTTCCAATCTCCCTGGGGAACAGGGACACCTTTCTCTAGACCAGGTTGCCCACAGTCCCATCCAGCCTGGCCTTGAACGCTGCCAGGGATGGAGTATCCACAGCTTCTCTGGGCAACCTGTGCCAGTGACTCAGCACCCTCACAGTAAAGAATTTAATCCTAATATATATTCCAGACCTGTTCTCTTTCAGTATAAAATGCCCTTTTCCTACCACTACATGCCCTTGCATTTTCCAGAATAAAGTCCATGACTATGGACACTCTTTCTACCTCATCCCTTTCTTTCCAGCCCTTGCCCTGACAAGCCAGCTTCACCCTGGCAGTGGCAACATCCAAATACTCTCATGTCCTCTTTTTTCCACTTCCATTACACACACCCCCACCCCTTGCACCATTCAGGTGTGCATGTTTCCCTGCACTTTTTCAACCCTTCATATGCCAGAACTTTTCAACAAAACATGGCGTAGAAATCTGCAAATAATGCTGAAGACACTATATGAGAATCACCATCAAAAAAAAAAGGTATAATTTCCTTCAGTCACAATTAGATCCAGTGTCTAGAAGGTTAGAGAATCACAGCTGGATTTCAGTATGGTGTGTACTCTAATGATCTATTTCCTATTTTTCAGAGAATTCAATACAATTGATTTTGATGATCTTAGAGGGCAAAAGCTGCTGCTATTTCAGGAAGCTTAAATGAGGTACAATGCATAGAAAAGCCTGCTAGTTATGACTTTTTCATCCTGACCTGTATGTTTTATAAAGCATAAGCACGACTTTTAAAAGGTGTGAGGCCAGACAGAGGCAGAGCATTTGCAGAGTAATGAATCTGAATTATTAAATCCTGGTTAAGAAAGCTTATAAGCCATAATGCAAACCTTGTATTATGCCCTTTAGCTGCAAAACATGTATTATGCCTTTTAGCATGATTTTCCAGCTCTGCTTGGAACAGCTGAGAATTAAAATCATGAAAGGTTTCATGGTGAGACGGATTAATTTGCAAGACAATTTCAGAGCAGTTCATTGTCTGATTATACTGAAATATAGGTTGTGCAACCACTTTGTTCTTCAGCATTGTGCAGTGTGATTCCCTTTTAGCAGTGGTAAGTGCTTAAGACACCAGAAATTAATACATTGATTCTTAGAGGTAGAAGAATGTATTAATCAGACAATAGGGGATATAGGGAAGAGATCTTGGAGACTTGAGGCAAATCCACATTCCTGGAAAATTTCCAATGCCGTTACTCTAAAACTGCAACACTTTTTCAGATTATGGAAGAACTACACTAAGGAATCACTGTGGTATAGTTGTTCAAATTAGAAAACAACTTCAGCTGCTGGATTCTCAGACAGCATGGGGAAAAGCCGTCTCAGGGGAACAGTACCAACAGAACTCATCAATTTGAAAAAGAAAATGGCCACACATAGCTAGAGCCAGTGTCAGGCTGTAGGATGAAGAAGCACTTAATGAAATAGATTGAGAAGACTTTTTTCCAGTCTGAAGTCTTAAGATAGTTGAAAACATTAAGGGGACAAATTAAAAAGATTCAAGTCCAAGACCAAACATTACCTTAGTGGGTAGGGAAAGCAAACAAGATAACAAAAAGATTACTAATGTATTATTTTGAAACTAAAATATAGTTGATGAGATTTAATACATACCAATGAATTTTATTCCTTGTTCATCCATGTCAGAGTGAGTAGAAAACAGCTTGTTTTATGCCAAGATAAATTTGAAGATATAGACATAGAAATTTTCTCAAATGTAATGAGCAGTAAAGCAGCCTGAGTAGGAATATCATGGTATTTCCCTTATCACCAATTTCTAAAGGCTGGCTAATGACAAAATTTCGGTCAGGGAAATTCTAAGTATACTTATTTTGTCTCAGATCAGGAGCTATGAAAAGATGATCTCACAGGATCCATTTTAGTCTATATTTCTATGAAAAGATGCTAGTTTAAAATGTTATGATTTTTAGAAATAGATGGACATCAAAAATTGTTATCAGCTGATAGGTACTAAAGAGCACCTTTATTGAGTGGTTATCTAGTTGACAGGAAGAATTCAGGACAACCTCTTGAATTTAAAGAGTTCTGTTATTTAGAAGGAGAGGAAGGACAATCCCTGATACAGTTAGGAAAGATAAGCAACTTGCACAATGGTACTACTGATGACATGACTAAATATAGAGCACATACTTGTTCCTGATCTGGAGTGTTTTCTGTTGAACCACACAACCTACAGAAGCCAGGAGAGCTAGACAGAAGGAAAGGCTGCAAGAGGAACAAAATATGTACAAAAATTTGGCACACCATCTGCAAGACATCACCCATTTCCAGCCTAAGTACTTTCCAGGACAGAATTAATATATATATTAGTACACTGCCAAATAAATCTTGTGCAGAACAGAAAAGGTATTGTCACCAATAGATTGTGTTTTACCTTTTTATACGTGCTGACATTAAATGAAACATCATTTACACTTTATATACAGGGCAGTTTGTGCTGTGGGGAAAGTGATGGCAAATTTTAGACAAAGTGAGATTTTTGGAGCCTATTTTTCTTGCAATAGACTGAGAAGTTTCCCTAAATTTCTACGGGACTTGTGTCAGGCAACAGAATTCTAAGAGCACCAAAAGATAAATATAGCTAGTAAAATAAGAAAGATTAAATAATGGTAAATCTATTGTTGAAGGAACTCCAAATACGGAAAAAGGAATTATTCATTTTCCTGGCCACTGGAAAGAATATAAACAAGTTCAAATTGTATCCACAGTTCCTTTGAGGAAGATATGGAGCATGACATTGTACAAGAATAGTTTGGAGGCTCACTGTCTCCCTGTGCAGCAGGATCTGACTGGAGACTGCACACAGGCACCAGCCCAGACCGTGACACTGCTGAGCAAGACAGATGGGAAAATGACATTGAGAAGGCAATGCTGGTGCTGCATAACAAATCCAAACTTCTCCTTCCAAAACATGCTGAACTCTGCTACGAGTGAAAAAAAGGGTCATTATCTTTAGCTAAAAGGTTTTCTTTTCCAAACCACCGTTGGTTTTCAAAAGTGTGTTCTCGCTGAAAGTATCCTTTGTGAAATCCAGAAGATATCTTCAAAATAATTCTGTTTTCCTCACAAATGTCCTTCGTGTTTAAAGACATCCTACTGATTTACCTTCTAGATGCAAACATGTGAGTATATCTAATTACCTCTCTCTCACCTGAATATCTATTTGCCCAAATGAATTATATTCATAGAATCGAGTTATGTATGTCCCCTGAAATGCACAAAAATGCACACAAAAGCAAAAATGAATGAATGCATTCCCTAATTACTGTCAATTTACAATTTCCTGTCACATAAGCTTTATGATTACTATATTTAACATAGTCACATCTCCTCTTCATTTTCTCTCTTTTGCATTTCACAAAGTCTCAGTAATTTACATACCCAGCACCTAGAATGCACACACTAGGACTTTGATTTGGTAATCAAAAATTAAGCTAAATAACAATAATTTTGTCATGACAAGTCTTATCATTCTATACAGTGGTGGCAATAGTTAAATGTCTGCACAGTGCTCAAGTTATCTGTAGAAGGGAGAAATACAAAAGAACAATTATGTGCCAAAGTCATGGGATCATTTCCAGAAATTTAACTTACATTTTGTAATGAACACTTGAGGGTATTTTTCTTTTTTTTTTTTTCTTGGCAAAGGACACTGTAAGCCTGGCAGCACTGAGAAACCCTCAGTTCTTCAATACTGATGTACCTGTGACTATCAACATTTGGTTTGTTATAAAGCAGACACTCGAAGTCAATTCCATATTTATGAACACAAACAGACTCCCTGTCATCCCATGACATCTGTGTATGAAGAGATCCTTTTTTAAGAAAAGGGACAAAAAAGCAAAGACAAACATCACAGATCCTTAAGACTAAAATCTTCCAAATTTTAAATCAAACTGTTCAATTCTCTGATGTTTCCTTAGGAATTATGCTTTTGATTTCTTTCCCCCGTATGAGATACCTCACTCTAGTCCCATCAAAGCATTTTTCCCCAGTTTGGAATCTACCATTCCATGACTGGTATTACTCTTTTTCTAGTCCTTTTGGCAACTGCCATTTTTTGCAACTACACATCATAGTTAGGGCAAGCAGAGTGTCACATATTCCAAACAATTGTCACAAGGACCTTTTTTCCCAAAGAAATTTAAGGCCTCTGAATTCACTTTCCAGGCTCCTCCCCAAGGTTGCTCTCCATCTGCTTTGGAAGACCCAACACTTCACCCTGGAGTGCCCACAGTAGTAATAGAAACTAACCTGTTCAACAGGATGTTTTCAAATTTGAGTATATCAAAGATAAAACAGATTTTCACCTCATTTTTCTTAATAGACCCGTGAATATCTTGCTGCCACTCTGTAGATCACTCAGCACACCTCTGTGCATGCTAACAGCAATCCCCACACAAGGCTCCAGACAAGATTCCATTTTAGCATCTTCTGCCCTACCTCTCCAGAGATGGTACTTTCTCAGCACACATGGAACTTTCCAAGGTCTCAGTCCTCTTCCTGAATAAGCTTTTACCAGGCAGAACAATCTCTTCCCATTGTGGTTTCCCAAATCCTTTTTCCAAGATCCCTTTGCAAAAGAATCTAAGATATTGATTATCTGCTTGGCTCCAGAAGGAGGTAGCTGAGGGTTAATCATTCTCCCTCATTTTTCTGGCAACATGGAGTGTACATACCTCATCACAGCTTTCCAATATCCCACTTCTCTCCAGTTTCTTCCTGCTTTTTGTTACAATCCCAGCACATGTGCCTTCTTGACAATCCTCCACGTCTGTTTTTGTCTCTTCCTATGCTTGGGCTCAGGTCCTTCCATGGTTTTCATTCCATGGTCTCCTGCTACACACCTGAACCCCTTCAGCACTTTTTGCTTCAATGATTTGCAAGAGCAATCAGTTTCCAAAGGCAATGTGATAAACCATCTATATGTGAGCATGACACAACCAGTAGCTATAGTAACAGGAAGGCTTTAAACAAAACTGGAAAAAAAAATCTGAGGGATATCTCTCAACTGTTCCTCCATCCCCAACTATTGCACAGTTCCATAAATGTCCTCCTGTGTTCCTTTGCCTGATTGTATCTCCACCTAGCCCAAAACACAGTGAGATAAAAATAAAACTTTATTTTGCTTGGCTTAAGGAGGAAAAACATATAAATAATCACACACAACAAAACTAGGAAAAGGTTGTCTCTTTCCCCCCCACACACACACAAAAAAAGAAGAAAAATATATCTGTAAGTTGCAAATCCAAGACAGGCAGAATTGTCACTATCCCAGCAGTAAGGCCACGTGTTGATACCTGTGACCCATCTCGCTGTCACATGGAGCTGGAGAGCAATTTCTGACAGTGCAGAACAGCACAGGTAATTTAAAAAAACAAGTACAAGAAAAAGAACATTCTGCAGGTTCTTGAGCAGAACTCTTGAATCTAACTGTGCTGAGCCAAGGTAATAAAGAAAATGCTTTTTTTTCTAATTGTCATATATTTTTCATTCCCTAGAGCCTGTGTAGGTGGACTTCCACAGAAAAAAGAGTCAGGGCCTCAGCTCACTTGACCACTCAAAAGGTCAGCAAGGTCAGCAAAAAATTGTTCAGTAATTTTACACACTTGTACCTGTGTCACACCTTTTCATTCCTGTGTGTTAGAATGTGAATGTCAAAATAGATAAACAATACAGAGTTAATTCATTCTGAAAAACTTCATTATTTTATATAGATTGAAAGAAACTAAACCATCTTCATTTACTGCAGTATTACCCTCCAAAAATTTCTCTTTCTTATTTGACCCTTCCTTTCTTGAGGGAGTAGGACTATTCCATATATCTTTTAAATACATACAAATGTGTTGCTCTTCTCAATATCACTCACTTGAAATAGATTTCCTTTTAATCAGTGAAGTAAGCAGCCAAGGAAATCAAGAGAGAGAATTATGTATTTCAGTAAGGAATAGCCTGATACTTATCAAACTGGAATGTTATTATACCTGATTCAATTTTACACATTGAGATCTCTCCATTGTTATTGATTAATGGTTAAAGCTCTCTAAGGTTGCTATACAACACTGTTATAAATAACTTATATTATTTAGATACATAATGGATGTGATCTCTACAAATGATGAATTATATCCCCCTTCTTAATTACAGCATCCTCTGAAATCTAATTTAAATAGTAGCTAAGCAGATTAAATTCAAAAGCAAGAACAACTGTAAGGCAGTTTGCAACATGATAAATTTATGGGGTTTTCCTCTCAGTGCTGTAGAGTTTTGCCACAGAATGTTTTATAAAGTATCATCTTTCTCAATACCTTATTAGATCACTGTAATCTGGATTTACATATTGATTCATTCACTTTCAATGTCAATCAAGACATGAAAATTTAATAAAAACAACTCTAATTGCTCCTCGGAGACTTAGCAATAATTACTCCCATATCGTATCAGTGAGGCAGACGTCTTTAACATGTTCTGGTTTTCAAGCATAACAATTGCACGTTTCTTTGGGCACTGCAGACTCCTCAAATCAGCGTTTCACTCACTGAGATGTTGAAGGCTGCCTTAACAACATATCACATAGGGGCTACAGTTGATAAAATTGAAACTGTATTCTGTCAACAATAATTATGTGGGTGTTTTGCTCATTTCCTGCCATAGCTGTCCCATGGCAACAGTGTGAAAACAGCGCTCATTTTTTAAACACAAATGACTGCTTTGATGACACATTTCTGGCTCAGGTTTGGCGAAGGCATGGTGAAAACAAAGACTTTTTTGAGAAAATATCACAACTGCTTCTATTATATGCAAATCTGTAGGGAATGTGCTAATTCCCGAGTGGCAGCTTTGCTGTAGTAGTGGCAGAAGTGGCCCGAGGCATTTCCAGACTGACAAGAAGCCAGCATTTGCACTTCTGGCCATTCTCTCCACCCTCGGTGAATTTCACAACGAATACCTCAACCGAAGGGCATTATTCCACTTAACCCTGCCTTTGGGGTTGAGGCAAAGCAGATAAAATCACGCTAAAATTCCACATTTTATCACAATTATATCCATCTGGAGTGCTGAGAAAACAGCTGGTGGTATTGATGATTTTGCCATATAAACTCTGGTACATAGTTATTTTGGTGCATGGGAAATCAGCTTTGCAATTTTCAGTTTTAACTGTTTTGAGAATATTTACTTTTCTAAGATTATTTTATGGCTTGTGAACCAAGAAGAATAGGTATTGTACAGACAGTTCATAAAGCTGTTATAAGATGAATTAGGATATTGCAGGTCTTACCCTTGGCTCTGTGAACATCTAAGCTCTGATGTAATAAGAGCTGATGGCAGGATCAAGTGCACCTATGATTTCAGCCTTACAAATATCAGCTTCACAGAGAAAAGTAGTAAAAATGATACCATTATGGTTATTTTTTTCCTATTATGAGCACCCCGACTAAACTTGTTTCATTTAAATTGATACTAACGCAATGAGAAACATCTGGAGATTAACAAAGTGGACCAGATTCAGGCTGGATTTTTAGAAGGAACCATTTAATAACCCACCATATGTCCCTGGGAGCATCCTTTCTTTTCATTTTAACACTCTAAAGGGATTTTAAGAACAAAATGTAAAATCTATAGATACATGTATTTAAGATAAATCTGTGATACAATTTGGACAGTTTTTGCACTAGGGGAAAGGAACACAACTCAGAGTAAGGCAACACATATTGTCAAGCTGTAAATTGGAGTATTAACAAAGCCCTGTGTGCCTGGAATGTCCAGAGTGAATCTTACACTAGCCACATATCAATTGTCTTTTGTATTGTCACATGGATGTAAAGGAAACCCGGAGTGTTTGCTATCAGCATCTGATTAACCACTGAATTCTAACTATAGTTTGGGAACAAAGAACAATTTTATTTGATGCCAGCCATTGTCTGTGGCAGGGAAACAGCACAGTTTCCATTAGAGGAGGATGAATTTTAATTCTGATAAGATGTGGGGATGAAATGCTAACTTAAGCCAAATGAATATTCAAATAGGAAAGTGAAAATAGGTGTCAAGGACTTGCTGCACTTAAGTCCTGGGTTACATGAAAACTGTACACCATTCAACAAAACAACAAGGTTTCTAATGATTACTTTCCCCATATAATTTATTCATCTATTCCAGAGCAGTGTTTCAGGGCTTAATGAGTATTTGTAAAGCTCTGACTGAAATGCACTCTCAAAATGCAAAACATTAGACCATTTACAATGAATGAAGTAGTGTAGATTACTGGTTCAGAAAAGCCACTGCAGCTCATCAACATGTGCATTTGAAGGGTGTTTTACTTCACCAGGCTCCTGTTCACAGTCCTGTGCAGTTGAAAGGCTAAGTGTGCTTCCTTCCCACTGAATCCATTCTGATGGCCAGGGACAAAGGAAAAGTTTAGGAACTTTTTCTCTTCTCTTCTTTCACCCCATGTCACCCATATTTTCCCCATATGAGGCAATCTATCATGACATCTCAAAGAACTACTCAGAGAATAAACAAGATGAAGTAGCAATAGAATGGTCTGGGTTGGAAGGGACCTTAAAGACCATCTCATTCCAACCCTCCCACCGTGGGCAGGGACACCCCAGATAGGTGAAACTCTCATCCAACCTGACCTTGAACACTTCCAGGGATGGGACATCCACAACTTTCCTGTTCCAGTGCCTCACCACCTTCACTGGGAAGAACTGAAGTCACCTCTAGTTCCTTGCATGGCCATGTTTCTTCCTGGAAGATCAGCTTTCTGAACCAGAAATGCAGAGATTTCTCAGAGCTTCCTGACAGTCTCTGGTACAGCAGATCCTATGAGCACACATGGTAAACAGGATGATCTCATGCTTCCATGTGCTGTCTGCTTGTTGATGTGATTCTCCTGCCCATCCTTACAGTGCCATTGCACCCATTACAGATGCTGTATGCTCTTTAAACTAGATAAATGTCTATAGAAAAAAAGAAATTTTCAAATGTTAATTTTCTTAAACTGTATTTTTTTTTCTTCTCTGTACACTGTGATAGTTGCTTTATTGCTGTTAATAAAATCTCATGTAACACTAATGATGGTAAAGAGTAGTCCCAGTAATTCTAGAGGAAATCCAAGACTTCATAAGATCAGATTTTAATAGGAAAAGGGAAAGATCAGGCAAAATAAAGATTCTGGGATTAAGTAATCCTTCTTTCCACATTAACTAACTGTTGTCCAGACACTTTAATTCTACATCATGCTGTGCACAATAAATGAGAAGTCAGGAAAGGCAAAATTTTGGCTTTTAATATCTCACACCTTTCTGTCCACTAGTTCATCTCCCCCATACATGTCAATGGTGGTTATTTCTACTTTCTTACTTCCCTCATACACGGCCTCTGCTGCATCTTTGGACAGAGGGGAGGGTATAGTTTATGTTTATATGCATCAATGCCAATGTACAAACAAAAATCAAGCTGTCAGTGGTTCATGGCAGCCTCCTGGGCAGAGAAGAACACACATTATTGTTACATTCTTTTTATTAAATTAGCCAGCTTGAAAGTTTAATTTCAGTTTTCCTCATTAGCCAGGCATAGTAACTAGTTTGGCTGAAATATAATCTAATAAGGGGTCAGTGTGGGGACTGAAGGGAAAAAAAATTTAAAAGCAAAAAAAATTGCCCAGAAGAAACATGACTGAAATCCCAGATTATACCAATTTCCTCACCAATACTGTATATGCAGATAATATTTATAGAAACCAGCATCTCTCAGAAACAGGTATTAAGTTAATTAAAATGTGTTTTAGCCTAAGATTACATTTTATTAATTCCTGTTTGCAAGAAGGTCATGTCTAATGATTTCCTCTTGGAGTTACTGGTTTTAGCAATCAGACCATTAAAGATTTTGATTCTTGTTCTACTTGTGAAATTCTCAGATTCTTGCAAACACAAGTGCCAATTCCCTGATCTTTTGGTGTTCTTTTTAAGTTTTTGCCCCAGTGGGATTTTCTTCTTCTTGAGGGAAAACAGCTGCACATACAACGTCAGGTATTGTAATTAATTTTGCATCAGTGCAGAATGAAAGCCATGTGTTCAGATAACCAGGATACTCCAGCATTCCAAATACCCAGGATAAATTACTGTAACAGACCAATACTGTTCTCAATTGCATTATCACTGCATTCAATGCACAACTGCAATTGTGCTTTACAGCTGACACAAATATACAATTCCTTGTGAATAATTAATGTTGAATTACACTGTAAATTAAAGTATTCATGACATTTTACAGAAAATCACGTACGCAAAGTTCTCCCAATGAACAAGATATGAATTAAAAAATAACCACCTGTTTCACTCTAATGCCCTGGGGAGTGGGAACATCTTGACCACTGTCAAAAGGGTGTGTTGAAATCACATCTTTTAAAGCATTTTGAAGGCATGCAGAAACTCTAGAGAGAACATCAGAGTGGTTAGATGGATAGGCAGAGCACAGAGAAATGTGACCAATTTATCCGTTTCAATAAAAGGCAGTTTGGTTTGTCCTGAATCTGTTCAGAATACACCAGTGTCTAACATCACTAGTGGCACTAGCACTTGACACATAGCACATTCCACCCTTCAAAGTAATATTAATATAAGTTTCAACCCTTCTAAGTAATGTTAATTAATCACATGACTGATCTGAGTTCACAGATGGATCGAACTGAAGGCAGTTAACCAATTAAACACGAGTGGTCAGTGCTGTGGAAAATGGGACAGCAATTTTGGAACTTCACACCTATTTTGCACACTCTAAAGATTGTCAGTTCAATTCCTCTGAATTTTGGGCAATGTGAGCACCTATGGTGATTGAAAGCATCTTTTGGAACTGGCACATGCTGTGGTTCTGTGTCCAGCATTCATTCTTGTGGATGCTTTTGAAGATGCAGCCTCCTTGTGTTCAGACACAAGCTCAGCTGTCCCTGGTGATTAATGCAATATATTGGCACAAGAAGTGCAAATATCTGTGGTCATGTCTCACCAGTGGTGCCTGATGATGAAAGAGCAGGTACACCATGAAAACTGAGGAAAGGGCTTTCAGACAGGTAAGGGGGACAAGGAGAAATGCAGCTCCTCTCTAAGACAATAACAATCAGGACAGATCTCTAGCATTCTTTGAATTTTGCTAGTTTTACATGTCCTGAATTTGTTCTACAATTTAAAAATTCTCTTGTTTTGACATTTGCCTAAGCAAGAACTTCATGGCTAGCACCTGCTTCTGAGCTCCCGCAAGAAAGTCTCTCAGTGAAAGTAGCTGTCATCTAAAGAGACAGCAGATCAGTGTCAGAAAACTTGTTGATCAACTTCCTGCATTCCTGTTCCCTTAAGAAATGAGTTCTGAAAGGCTTGTTCAAGGAACAAGGAAAATTACTGCATATCAACAGTCATAGGCAATGTTTTCTAGAAAATTTTAAGCTTGAACATCTACTAAGGTTTTATTCACATAAAGAAATCTCAATGTAACTAAATTCATTTAGCAATTTGCTTGGTGAAGGGCTACACTCATGCTGAGAGGGCATGTCAGTTTATTCAGACAGTGTGAAAACACAGATGTGTTGTTTTTACCAGGAGCAAGGGCACAGGACTGAGGAAGATCTGTGCAATCTGCAGCTGAGGCAAGCTGAGGGCACAGCTCCAGCTTGTTACCAGTCCCACATGGCCAAAGTGCCCTTGCCAGCAGCACAGCGACAGTGAAAGGTCTGAGGAGCTAAACAGCACCTCTTCTTTATCTGCAAGCAAAAACAAAAAGTTGCTCTTCTTTCCCCAAGCCTCTAGTTTGGCTTTTCTCAGTCCTTGCAGCTGACATGAAGCACTCAAACATTTCTCTCTTCCCACCTGCTATCCCCTTCCTTCCTCCCCTAACCTGACCTGAAGTAAATCCTGCCTTCAGACTTGGCCCATCCTTTGAAGCATCGTCCAAAAACAATGCAGTTGCAAAATGTACAATTGCTATCTGCAGTCTATTCTACAAAGCTTTGATAACATAGTTTGCCAGATAAGAGTATGAAAAGAAATCCATATCTTAGGTGGCTACATTGGCAAAATGACAGAATATTTTGTGGGCTTACTTGGTGGCTTTCAGGGAAATGTGGAAATAAGCCCACTAGAAAAACTTCCCTATGTGACATGCTGCATCTTCCATATGGCCCTCTGCTATCCTGGTGCACCAGCACAGGCAAACTAATAATACTTCCAAGTGTGAGATGTGCAGGTTTCATAACAGCATTCCAGTGGGAGTCATTGTAACCAGTTTTAAGACAGAACTTGTCAGGTTTGGGAAAGAGACTGAACGCCGTTGCACCTGCGACAGCAGAAGGCTGGATGCAATGATCCAACAGGCCCTACATTTCAAAGTGAAAAAAAACCCAACCAACTGAATTCCTGGGGAAAAAAAGAGCCAAACCTCAGAAAGAACAACAGCAGAACACAAGTAGTTACACATTAGCCAGCACACATGCTCCTGTGTGGCTTCCGTGGCTGAGGAGAGCATGAGCCAGCAGGGCCGCGGCAGCCACTGACGTGTCAGAGCTGCTTTGCCATACAGAATAAAAATATATTACAAAGCAAGAAAGGAAAAAAGATTTTTAAAAGCAGCCTTTCTCCATCCCCACTCTGTTTCCCAGATGCCCAACAATCTTTGAAAAAGAGGGAGAAGGGGAAAAAATATTTTCAGGGATGGCAATGCATCCACAATTCCTAACAGCAGGCAAACTGAGCAGGCTACAGTGACCACAGTGACCTTAACTGCACCCAAGGTGCTACTGACAGTGTGCCACGAAAACATGTGCTGGGAGATCAGTCCTATTTGGAAGAGCATAAAAAGACAGAAGAGACAAAAAGCAAGAAAAGTGACAGAAAGTAACTTGTCCAAAGGGTGAGTCAACACTCAGAGCAAAAGCAGCCTCCTGAGTGTGCCTAAGGCCAATGCCCTGTCCGTCCTGCCAGGGGAACCTTTCTGTCTGGCTTCACTGCCTTCCACCTCCAACTCTTCAAACAAAAACTGTCCAGTCCAGTGGCAGTCCACTTCAGCAGGTTTTGGTGGGTCTCAGGAGCCAGGGGTAGTTGCAGAACAGTGCAGAGCCTCTGAGTCAAGGAGCAATACATCGCTCATTCTGCACAGGTTGTGACATCAAACAGCCTTTCTAGGAAGGGGGGCCTCACAGATCCCCAGCAAAGTATTTCACAGGCCTGCAGGTAGAAAAGGGAAGAGAATAATGGATTCATTCTAAATAACAATCTTCCACATCCTAAAAACCTGCTTGCAGATTTGGGAAATCCTGCAAAGTGGGGAGGAGCTTCTTGCTTTGAAACAAGGAATATCTCTGCTGTTTCTCCTGAAAAAGGAACCCACCTGCTTGACAGCCTTCTGCAACCTGCCTTAGATTTCAAATCTCAGGCTGGAAGGAATTACATTCAACTTTTATAGCTGAATTAAGACCACCTACAATTGCTAGTATCTGTGAAGTGGGGTAACACTATTCCTCTGTGTGTAGGAGAGAAATTTAGCTGTAAAAGAATGGGTACACTGTGGATTATTTGTGAAGTTTGTTTGTGCTTTACTAACATTGCTTTGCAAAACAGTCTGATTTACATTTGGTGGCATTTTTAAAAGAATATTATTGGCATAAGTGTTTAGTATACCCCTGCCAAAAAAAACACAACAGAAAATTAATATGCAAGGCAAAGAGCAAAAGACCATTTCAAATCCCCTTGGGATTTTCTTAGGAATCAAAAGCCACTTGGAGTAAACATTTGCCAGCTCAACAGTTTGAAATGTCCTATACACATCTCTCTAATAGCCTCTGTAATAATTGACAGAGCACAATACCTAGAAAAGATGCCAGCACATCACAAATATGAGGCTGTTGATAGGATTAAGCATTATCCTGTCTCACCAAAGAATAAAGAAAATAAGAAATGGAACTGTGTAGTGTTGAATAGCACTGAGTCTAAGATACCCTTATGACAAGCTTTCGGTGTTTTTTGTGCATGACAGAGCTTCACTGAGAAGGTCATGCATGAATTCTGAAAAAAATGGCATTATAACTG